CGCTGCCCAACGCAGCTCTATACCGCTGCTCAACGCAGCTCCAACCGCTGCTTAACGCAGCTCCAAGCGCTGCCAGACGCAACTCTATACCGCTACCAAACGCAGCTTCCATCCGCTGTCAAACGCAGCTTCCAAGCCGCCAAACGCAGCTTCTAACAAGATGCCAACGCAGCTTCCAGCCGTTGCGTCCGAGCTTTCAGACACTGCGTTCAAGCTTCCAAACACTGCGTTTGAACGCAGAATTCGCATCAGAACATGGATTTTGCGTTTGACTCGTTCAAACACGAGCTGTACGGTTTCAAAACCGTTTCCCACGATCCGAGGGGATCACAACTCCACTCAGGAGTGATTTAAGGGGCGGTTACATCCCATTAGCTCCACTTAGGAGCGAATTAAGGAGGTGGTTACACCCCTTAATCCCCTATAAATAACTAAAAATCAATTCAGTTTAGGGGTTTGGTCGGTTGAAACTTCTGGGCAGCGAAAAGAGGATCCTTCATCCTTCGGTTGGAGCTTTGGAGATCGGCAACAAGATCTTCTTCATCCTTGGCTTATAACCGACTTTCGGTTAAATCAACTCTTTCATAGAGTTTTAAACTCGTTCAGAGTTCTCCACAACGTCAAATCGTGAGGAGAAGATCATGTTCCAGTGAAACAAGACGTCGGATCGTCAACGAGAAGCAAACTCGACGCGAGCATTCGAGGGAGGCATCTCATCGCTACCGTGAAGAACCCAGAATTAAACAAATGGGAGAATCCAAATCATTCTCCTCTCTTTTGTCATCAGGAAATCCAATTGTAACTGAGATTAAAGGAATACAAATCAAATTTTCCTTCATTGTCTTTTTACTGCAAATTTTCCCACAAACATCAGCTTCTTTAAAAGCTTTCATGTGAACCTCTTTCAGTCCAAGATTGTGGCAATGCTCCACCATAGACATCATGTCCCCCTCGTTCTCAATAGGAAATTTTAAGCTTCCAGCTGTTTCATCTTCGTATGACAGAATTAAAGACTCATATGGAATACCTAACCTCTCTGCCACATCAAATTTGAGATCCAGGATGGTGGTTGAGGAGTTAATCTTCAAAAATACCGCTTTGTACCCCGAAGAGACAATGCAAATGATGTCCTTCTCAGCCATTTTGAAGAGAAGGTAAGATTAATGGCGCGAGTAAAGGAGAGAATTTTGGTCTGAGGAGAAGTAATGGATAACTAAATAGTTATTGCTCATGATGGGAAAAAAAAAGGGGGGGAAATTTCCCTCCATTTCTTCCATCTTATCGCATTAAAGAGGAGTGTCTATTGTTAAGGGACGGCGCCTCGTCTGGGGAAGAAGAAGGGTAGTATCGCCTTTTTTGAAAAAATACAATCTGCTTTGGTACAACGTTGACGTGGAGGGGGCTTAAAACATTAGTCTTCACTTTTTGGGGCTAATACACATGGGCCGAAATACGAGGGGGCTTGTCACATGAAGTTCCCACTTTTGGAGCCTGGACACAATTTTCCCAAATTCCAAAATGCAATGGGAGCATTTGCCCATTTTGGGTTGTATGTGGCTCCCTCACTATAAGAGAGAGTATGATGATTAAAAGATATTAGGAATATGATTAAAAGAATAATTATGATTAGACAATTATGTTTAATGTGATTAAAAGAATAATTATGATTAGACAATTAAACTTAGACCCACATTGCCTAACACTTCTTCTATTATATTCCTGTATAAATTAAGCGGAGTAGTGTAGCTTTTGATAAAGAAAGAGAATCTATAATATTCTATTGTTTAATAAATTTTTATGTCCATTCCGTATCCTAGTGTCTTTTGTCCTCTTTCTCTACCTGTCAAGCACTTAATAAATAGGGAAAAATGCTTCCAACCCCCAAAAGCCAAGTGAACATGGTTCCCACCCCCAGGACTTGGTCAATGAGTGTTTTACCCCTAAAAATAAAGAATATGTTCTCTGAGCCCCCAAAACACAAAACCCAAGACATTAAAACATGTGAAGACCATAATACCCTTCTCTCTCTCTTTCTTTTTTTATTAAAATATGATGGAGGATTATTTTATTATTTTTGTTTTTTCTCTCTCTTTATCATGATGTACCAAGAGGATAGTTGAAATGATTGATGATGATTATTTTATTATTTTCGTTTTTTATTATTTTGGTTGTTTGTATTGGGAGGTTGTTAAAGTTACGGGTTGATTGTTAAGGTTACGGGTTGGTTGTTAAGGTTAAGGGTTTGTTGTTAATGTTATGAATCCTCTCTCTCTCTCTTTCTTTTTTTATTAAAATATGATGGGGATTATTTTATTATTTTTGTTTTCTCTCTCTCTTTATCATGATGTACCAAGAGGATAGTTGAAATGATTGATGAGGATTATTTTATTATTTTCGTATTTTATTATTTTGGTTGTTTGTATTGGGAGGTTGTTAAAGTTACGGGTTGATTGTTAAGGTTACGGGTTGGTTGTTAAGGTTAAGGGTTTGTTGTTAAGGTTGTGGATTTGTTGTTAAGGTTGTGGATTTGATTGTTAAGGTTACGGGTTGGTTGTTAAGGTTAAGGGTTTGTTGTTAAGGTTGTGAATCCTCTCTCTCTCTTTCTTTTTTTATTAAAATATGATGGGGATTATTTTATTATTTTTGTTTTCTCTCTCTCTTTATCATGATGTACCAAGAGGATAGTTGAAATGATTGATGAGGATTATTTTATTATTTTCGTTTTTTATTATTTTGGTTGTTTGTATTGGGAGGTTGTTAAAGTTACGGGTTGATTGTTAAGGTTACGGGTTGGTTGTTAAGGTTAAGGGTTTGTTGTTAAGGTTATGAATCCTCTCTCTCTCTCTTTCTTTTTTTATTAAAATATGATGGGGATTATTTTATTATTTTTGTTTTCTCTCTCTCTCTTTATCATGATGTACCAAGAGGATAGTTGAAATGATTGATGATGATTATTTTATTATTTTCGTTTTTTATTATTTTGGTTGTTTGTATTGGGAGGTTGTTAAAGTTACGGGTTGATTGTTAAGGTTACGGGTTGGTTGTTAAGGTTAAGGGTTTGTTGTTAAGGTTGTGGATTTGTTGTGTAGGTTACGGATTTGTTGTTAAGGTTACGGGTTTAATTGTTAAGGTTACGGGTTTAATTGTTAGGGTTACCTATCTAAAGATCCTCTTGGTACATCATGATAAAGAGAGAGAGAGAGAGAGAGAAATAATAAAATAATCATCATCATATTTTAATAAAAAAAGAAAGAGAGAGAGAATGATATTATGGTCTTCACATGTTTTAATGTCTTGGGTTTTATGTTTTGGGGGCTCAGAGAACAAAATCTTTATTTTTAGGGGTAAAACACCTATTGACCAAGTCTTGGGGGTGGGAAACACGTTCACTTGGCTTTTGGGGGCTGGAAGCATTTTTCCCTAATAAATATGATTGTCAAAAAAACAAAGTGTTACTTTTATTTTTATTTTATTTTTTTCAACATAAAGCTACAATTTAAATTCCACGTGCATTCACAAGTTCTTCTCGGTTTGTTAGTTTTTGAGAAAACAGAAAAGATTACTCAGTTCTTTCTCCATATTTCTCTTCTTATTCCATATTTTTTCTGTTTTTGAGAAAACAGAAAAGATTACTCAATTCTTTCTCCGTATTTTTCTTCTTACTCCAACACCAAGTATTGTTTGAGGAGCACTGGATACCTGCGGGAATAATCGTTGTCATTAATGACTGGGCCAATTTTGACAAGTCTTTACTAAAATTGATGGTCACGGATAGATCTTTTAGACAAGGTCTTTATTAATTAGATAAAGGTCAAAATCACCGCTTGTGATCATCAACATTTACTCATAGATCTTTTGCTCAAAATGTAACCAGTTTAACTTGTTAGAAGAACCAAAAAAAAATGGAGCCAATCCATGACGGATCTCTCCTAATTGTCATCATCTTCCTCCTCCTATTATCCTCCTCCTCCTCTGCCAGAGACACCATAACACCTGCCGACCCTCTCTCCGATAACGAAACTCTAATATCACTGGCTCCTTCGCTCTAGGCTTCTTCAACCCTCCCAAATCAAACAACCGATATATCGGTCTCTGGCACAACGAAATCTCCGACCACACTATTCTCTGGGTTGCCAACCGTGCGAACCCGCTCATCAACATGACCGGGCTCTTGTCAGTCACCCAAGACGGCAGGCTAACAATTACCGGTCAGAACTCAACGGTCGTCTGGTCCAGTCCAAAGTCAACTGTGAATCTAACTAGTCCAATAGCACAGCTTCTTGACAATGGAAATCTCGTCATGAGGCAAGAAGGCGACGCTAGTAGCAATTATGGCTGGCAAGGCTTCAACTACTTAACCGATACATTGATCCCCGGCATGAAGCTGGGAGTGGACTTGGCAACGGGGATCAGTCGCACGCTCGTCGCTTGGAGCAGCGAAAATGATCCCTCGCCGGGTCCTTGGCATGCTTTTATGAACATCAAAGGCAACCCAGAAGTCTATTTTTATCGAGGCTCGACGCCAATCTGGCGAACCGGTGCTTGGGATGGTACGCAGCTGAGCGGGATACCGGATATGAGCAATTTCAAAGTCATTGAATTTGACTACGTGAACAATGATCAAGAAGTCACTTATTCTTACATCGTCAAAAACAAGTCTATTGTGTCGAGGCTACTTATTAACTCGACAGGTTTTCTTCAGCGAGCGCTCTGGTTAAGGGACACTGAACAATGGAACTTTTTCTGGAAGGCGCCGAAAGATGCTTGTGATAACATAGGGGAATGCGGGCCCTACGGGCTCTGTGATTCGAACAATTCACCGATATGCAGCTGTTTACAGGGTTTCGATCCAAAGAATCTTGAAAATTGGAATTTGAGAGATGGGCTTGGCGGGTGTAGGAGGAGGACGGCGTTGGATTGCAGGAATGGAACCGATGGGTTTGTAACAGTGAGAAATGTGAAGCTGCCGCAATCGGAGAATTGTAGTGTGTTTAAGTTTTTCAATTTGGAGCAGTGTAGGATTTTGTGTTTGCGAAATTGCTCGTGCACGGCATACTCAAGCGCCGATGTGAGCGGGGGAGGGAGCGGATGCGTGATTTGGGTGGGCGATCTGTTGGATATGCGGAACTTTGTGGGGTTTGGACAGGATTTGTACGTTCGCGTGGCTAAAGCAGATGTTCGTAAGTAGAATTAAGTTTTTCGTTTTGATCTAATTTCTAGTCTTTGTTTTTTTATTCATCCTTGCACTGATGAACTACAATGTTTAATAACCGATATTTCTGTCTGCTCAATAATCATGTAGATTTTATTTCCCAGTCAGTTATGCTAAAGTTCAAATCAGAAACGGATTAGATACTGAAAAAAGAGTTACATGTCCTGCCTAAATTAATAATAAATCTGCAACTTTGATTTTTCTCATACTGGACTTTCTTATCTTAGAGCTGAGAGGACACATAATCCATTTGAAACTAGTGATGTTGACATCCAACCGTGTCCTTTTTTTTTTTTAATACTGGAACCAAATTAATTGCACTCATGACGTTGTTCATCGTTTCGTTCACGTTTAAAACTTGAACAGGAATAATTTCCACCACAAGCAAATCGTACCGTCTTTTGGAAAAGCCAGCAGAATCATTAACAAAATGATTGTACGTGTCAATTTAGAAAAGCCTACCCCAAATATTAAACCTACTATGGGGTAACTATACTATAAGTTTGGGCAACACATGTCGCTCCAATTTGCAGCAATACCCACCAGATAAAATCTGATTAATTAATGTAAATTTTTATTTTATTTTTATTTTACTAGTCAAACTGATGTAAATTTCAATTTTTCAGCATTCTCGGGCAATATAAGCCCATGGGTATTAAAAAAATAATACAAAGTAGATGAGCCTCAGAGGGCTCTCTCTCTTCCAGAATTCCTTTCTCTAGAGTATTGTTGAAATTATACTTGGATTGCACTAATATTACTAATATACGATATCTAACCTTATTTCTCCTCAAAACTAATGTCTCTAACCTTATTTCTCCCCCCAAACTCAACATCCTCAAAGAATATTGCTGTTCCTGTCTCAAAAATATTCCTTATAGTGGGATCATAAAACTTATAGCCCCTAGAGCGTTCAGAGTATCCAATAAA